GACAAGTCAGCTGTGGCTGAATATAGCATCAATTTGGGACACAGCATTCAGCTTCAGAATACCTCCATCCTCGCCACAAAGACCCAATATATGGATTGCACCATTAGAGAAGCCATTGAGATTGAACTCCATCCAAACAATGTGAACAGAGAGATGGGGTTTTGTCTCAGCAAGTCATGGAAGCCTCTAAACTGTTCCCTCAAGAAACCTCCAGGACTTGACACCAGATCCACAAGGCCACGTAGGTCTACACCTGACTCGCTTCGCAACCCCCAAGCTTCAGGGTTAATGCCCTCCATTCAACCTTGTCTTTTTATCCCATTCTTGTGAACTGGTACAACAATAGACCCCTTCCACTGATCAGGCAATTCTTCCTTATTTCAAACAGAATTAATTAGCTTATGGATCTTAGAATGTAATATTTCACCTCCTGCTTGACTAAGTTCTCCCAGAATTTGATCATTACCTGGTGATTATATCTTTTCAATTTTGCAATAGCAATTTCAACCTCAAAAGATCTTGGATCAGGTATTATTGGCTCAGCTATATGTACTTCTATCTGCCTAACATCACTGACCCTCTGTACATTCAATAACTGAGAGAAGCAGTTCCTCCACCTACTCAAAATGTTGTGAAAATCTGCAAGCAGATCACCATTCTCATCCTTCACTAAGTTACTTCTAGGTTGGTAACCCCTCTTGAAGTCATTTATTCCTCTGTACAGGACTCTATTGTTCTTGTTCTTACTGTTCGCTGCAAGCTCATCAATTTTGTCTTTCAGATATTCCTTCTTTTTATTCCTGAAATGCCTGCTGATTTCGCGTCTTTGATTGTTCAGCTTATCCCGATTTATTTCGCTTGGATCCTGTAACTACTGCAATTTGGTCTGTTTTCTTTTGTCTAATAATTCTGAGCATCCTTTATAGAACCATGGCTTATGCTTCTTTGGTTCATAATAATCTAGACTCTCTTTGGCATAAATTTTGATATTCTCTCTAACAGTTTCTCAAGCTTCTTTAACATTCACCTCAGTGTCTAAGTCTTCCAAAGCTATGGACCTATTTGAGATTTCAACAAGCTACTGCTTGTTAACGTTTACCTCGTTTAATTTCCTGAGATTGAACCTCTCCATATGCTTTTTGTGCATTGTTTGCTTACTCACTGCCAGTCTTTCGCTGCCTTTGCTACCACCAGGTAGTGGCCAGTATCACAATATCACAATCTGCTGCCCTAATGATCAGAGATCAAGTATATTTGAATGACATCTCCTACCTATCAAAATATGGTCGATTCAATTGTGTGTCTTCCCATCAGGAGATGTCTGTTACATTTATGAATGTTACGGTGTGGGAATATTGTACTTTGACAATAAGAATTTTTGATGTGTCAAAGTTTATTACTTTAACTCCATTATCATTATGAATTTTGTGCAAACTCTCATTCCCAGTCGTTAGTTTGAAAATATCTTCCCTACCTACTTTGGCATTCAAATCTCCTATCAAAATTTTCATATGGTACCTTGGGAATTTATCAAATACTTGTTTTAGTTCTTCGTAGAACCTATCCTTATATCATCAATTTTATCTTTCGCTGGGGCATGCATACACAACTTTAAAGCTACATTGCAACAATCTGTTATTGCACATGCACTAGCTTAAGCAAAGTTAAATTTAACCCAAATTAAAAAGAACAAAAATGTAATTTTTAAATATTCTCAATTTCATGAGATTCGGGGTTCTGACATGAATGAACATAAAGATTACAGTCTTCTGGGACACGACTCCATGTATTCTGGTAGAAAGACACCAACATTTCAGAGGAACCTACTACAGATTCCTCTGAAACATTCATACCTGCTGCATCCATCTTCTGGATATAAGAGTGCTCCTTCCTTAAAATGGAGGCACCAGGTTCCTCTGAAATGTTGGTACCATTCTGCCACACTACATATTACTAAATCCTCCATTTCCATTTTTTATTATCATAATATCATAATTTTTTTTTGGGGGGGGGAGGTGTACTTGTCTTACCTATGATGTGCTGACACAGCAGCCTACCAAGTTGCTCCACAGGAAGCTTTGCCACTGTCTCTTCTGCTGGAGTTCCTGGCAATACCTGCTTGAATGAAACCAGGGCTCCATATTTTCCAAACAGTGTCCTATTACTCTTTTGTGGAGCTGGATGTGTGTAGCCTGCCACAAGTATTCCTTTGCTAGCCTGGAAGAAACATGCACGACGCAGAGCTACATTCTCTCCCACACTTCCAATCAACAGAGCTGTGTGGTCAGACAGAGGTTTCCCATCCTCACCTGGCAGTGATTTTAGTCTTTCTGAATCAAGTTCAATCTGAAAGCAATTCAAATTTAATTAAATCACTCTGGTATCAATATACATAACTGTGTTGTCTTGCCTGCTTAGACATTTTTCATGCATTTCTACTGTAAGAAAATAAGTATAAATTCTCTGTTAAGGCGCACATTGCTGAAAACCTTTGATTACATTATTCCACTTCAGGTTATGATAGTGAATATTAATACTCCTTTAAAACAACTTCATGTGAAGTTGGATAAGAAATCTAGGATGTGGTTGAGAATCTGCACTCTTAACTAGCAATTTAATCATTTCAATATTAAACTTTAAATTATTGGTTTGATTTTACATGCATGAAGTGTGATGAATAGTTCAATGGTGCATATTAAGGATAAGTAGATAAGCATACTTGTTGGGCCATATCTTATGCAAATTTATTAATGTATTACCTTAGTCAGTGCAGATCCAGTAGTCTGTTTGACTGCAAACCTGAGGCAAGCACTGGCTACAGAATCAACCAAAGTCTGGAAAGTTTTGTTCCTGGCCACAAAATCTGTTTCGCAGTTCACTTCTACAATGGTTGCAATGTTCTGATTTACTGCTACTCCTACCAGACCTTGTGCTGTGGGTCGCCCTTCAAGTTTTGTTGCCTTGGCCCATCCAAGGGCTTGTGCCTGTTCGTGTAACCACTTTTCTGCCTATAAGAAAACGTATGGTTCATATAAATAATTCTACCTTCGAACGTTACTGTCATTCCAATGAGAATGGGAGTTGATTTTTACCTTCTCCATATCACCATCATGAAGTTCAAGCGCTTTTCTGCAGTTGGCAAATGTGTACCCCGTTTTCTTCCGAAGCTTTCCTAAAAATGACTTGTTTACAGAATTCCAAAAAGATTGTCCAGAATGAAAAATCCGCACAAAATGGTTGCTAATCATCTGTTAAAATAAATGAGATACCTAGTCATAATTTTTACGTGGTCTTCACATTCATATGAAAACTACAAAATTATGCAATTGTAATATCTATACAATCTATAACGTTATGCCTTTACTTCGTATCAAAATTAGTACACGGAGTGAAAGGCAGCGAGCATCTCGTGTAACCAAAATTCGCAAAACACCACGTAACATGGGATCAACATACAAACCTTAAAAGACACCATCTAACATTAAACACTCCCTACCTCCAACACCACAGCGACGAATCAGATCAAATCCTCTCGTTCCAGTGTAGCCAACACCTCAGAGGAAGAAGAAGAAGAAGAAGAAGAAGAAAGTCCCTAAAGGGTGGTATGAAATTCTCCAGATATTCACCAGATCCGACACATTGTTAATGCAGTTACGTATAATATTAAGCTGTCCTTGTGCTTAGCTAATTACGCACTACGCTATGAAATTGTATGGGGAGCGGATGTACAGATCCATATTTTCTTGACCTCAGCACTAGCTGGAGTTGAGTGGACAGCTTCACGCCCCTGCCGCTTTACCCCCGCTGAAAGAGCCCTCGTTACCCATTCGATAGGAGGCTGGGTGACCCCAGATCCGGTCTGAACGACGTGGTGAAGAGACAATTTTTGATCCTGCCAGGACTCGAACTCCGATATCCCCCCCCCCCCGTCGTCCAGCCCATACTCAGTCGCTATCATGATGCTCAGTTAATTATTTTATCAGAGGTTAAAACGCATACTAAGAATGGCAGGGTAAAAGGGAAAAAAATGATCAGGAAAACTGAACTGGCTACGATACAGGATTTTGAATATAAACTGAGTCTTGAAACCTGGGACTCAGTTTTTGGCTCCAACGATATAAACTTAATGTATAATTCTTTTCTCAGTTCATTTCTTAGAATATTCTATTCTAGTTTTCCCCTGAAAGTGTTGAGCACCAGAACAAATAGTAATTTGTGGATTACTCCTGGTATTAGTAATTCCTGTAAGCATAAAAGAGATCTATATTTGATATACAGGAGTAGTAACAATGAGGCCTTTAAGAGGCATTATAGACAGTACTGCAAGATATTAAAAAATGTCATAAGAGAAGCAAAAAAGAAGCATTATAGTAGACAGATATCAAAATCCAGTAATAAAATAAGAACAATCTGGAATATAACAAAGTCAGTAACTGGGAAGTTTGCCAAAGTGAATTCAGTTCAGGAATTAAAAGTTGATGGACGGATTACTAAAAATAGGCAATATATAGCAGATTTCTTAAATAGTTTTTTCATATCTGTGGCTGAGAATAACATAAACAAAAGTCTTGAAACAAACAATAAGCCATTAGATTACTTGCGGCAAGCTTTTGATCATCCCTTTCCCAGCATAAAATATCAAGCTGCAACCTCAACTGAGATATTTAAAATTATTAAATCTTTAACAACAAAGAGATCGCATGGCTATGATGAAATATCAGTTGAAGTGTTAAAAATTAGTAGCCCCTTTATTATATCTCCTTTAACATATATTAGTAATAAAATGTTGTCTGCTGGCGTATTTCCGGATAGGCTAAAATATGCTGAAATTAAGCCTTGTTACAAGGGCGGTTGCGAGAATGATCCATCTAATTATAGGCCCATCTCCCTCTTAACCTCCTTCTCAAAAATATTTGAGAAGATAGTTTTGTCTAGATTAAATCAGCATATCCATGATCATAATATAATAGTCAATGAGCAATTTGGATTTAGACGTCAATCCTCAACTGCTAAAGCCTCTTACGTGTTACTCAATGAAATACTAGAAGCATTAAATAAACAAAAAGTTGTAGGTGGAGTTTTTTGTGACTTGAAGAAGGCGTTTGATAGTGTGAATCACGAAATATTGTTGAGTAAACTACAATATTATGGGATACAAGGTAGATTTTATGATTTAATTGCATCATACTTATCAGATCGACATCAGAGAGTACTAATAACAGATATTGAAATGAGCAACACTATTAGATCAGATTGGGATATTGTCAGGCATGGAGTCCCTCAAGGGTCCATACTTGGTCCGCTTCTATTTCTTTTCTATATAAATGATCTTTCTACAATTTTTAATAGCACAGTTAAACCAGTCTTATTCGCAGATGACACTAGTTTGGTGATTAGTAGCAATAATAACTTACAATATAATAGGGATGTGAATATCTCTTTTGACTGCCTTAATGAGTGGTTCAAGTCAAACCTGCTAACCCTAAACTTCAGCAAAACTAAACATGTACAATTTGCGGCTAAGTCTTGTCCTAATACCGGAGTTATGGTTAATTATTGCAATAATGTGATCCCAAACAGTACCGAGGTGAAGTTCTTGGGTATAATTGTTGAAAGCACGTGTACTTGGAAGGCCCATATATCCCAACTCATACCTAAGTTGTGTAAGGCGTGTTATTCAATGAGGGTTATTAAACCCATCATGCCTACCGAAACATTAAAAATGATTTACTATTGTTATTTTCATTCACTTTTAACCTATGGAATTATCTTTTGGGGCAATACCTCGTTTAGTGTACAAATTTTTAGAATTCAAAAAAGAATAATTAGAATTATGAGTGGGCTAAGAGCAAGGGATTCCTGTAGACAAGCATTTAGGGATTGGGGGATTTTGCCACTCCAGTCCCAATATATATTTTCTTTATTGATATTTGTTGTAAATAATAAGGGTCTATTCCATACATCAACACAGATTCATGGTCTCAATACAAGGCGCGGTTTAGATTTATATTGCCCTCAGACAAATTTAACAGTTCATCAGAAGGGTCCTTATTGCTATGGAATTAAACTTTTTAATTGTCTCCCATTAAAAATAAAGGAAGTAGTACATGATAATAAGGTATTTAGAGTGGCCTTAAACGCCTTTTTACATTCAAAATCCTTTTATACTTTGGATGAATATTTTGGTTGTATAAATGAGTAGTAATTTACTATGTTCATTCAATATTGCATGCATTGTTTGGATGTGCAGTTGTACATTCAAGGATATTGCACTGATACCTGCATTGTATATAGCAAGCTTATACCTTGACTGGTTTTATTTGGTATTGAACATGTAAGATATAATCTCCAACTTGACTGGTATGCCATGTAACAAACATACCTCATTATAGTTGATGGATGTTGTGATCTTTTATGGTTTGAGATATATTAGCTACTAAGTTGAATGAATTTATTATGTAATGTGTTTTTATTACAATTTTAACTTATTTTATTTATAATTAAACATGGTATAGTGTTATGTATATTTTAGGTTGATGTATATTTTATGTTGACTAGTTCCATTGTTGGAGCATTTGTTGAAGATATTTGACTTGTTCTGTGTCCAGTGGTGTTGGCCTGTAATTGGATTTGCTTGAATGCAATAAATACTATACTATACTATACTATACTATACTATACCGACTATGCTATCACGGCTCCTACATAATATTAAGCAACAACAAAAATATACCTCTTAAAATACTGCAGCACGTTTTACCACATAACAAAACAACAACGCGAACACAAAACCTTTGATAGTTTAAGAAGCATAATGTACATGATACCTTATTTTTCTAGAAGTCACCTTCCTCTGCGATTATAAAATGTGTATTTTTCAACTGTGTGCAGAGAGAACTGATGAGCCAAACTAAGCCAGTTCATAAGTTTTGCGGATCATTATTCTCACGTTCGAACTTTTTTATTTAAATTCTGTACTTATTGCAGAAGGGCCTCAGAAACACCATTGCTTAAATTTCTTGAAACTTGTTCTTCAAACTGTGGTCCAAAATATTATGTGCAATTGCAATGCATTGCGTTAGGCGCAATTTAAATTCGCAAGTTCCCTTACTATCGGAGAAACATGACTTTTATAAACCTGAAAGTTGATCAGTAATGTTCAACTAGCAATATTCAGCAATAAGAAGCCCTGTACTCCCATCCATTAATCTTGTCTCATCACTCACTCTATTAAATGACAATTCCTGCTGATGCCCAAAATTGAACAACTCTTCTTATATTTCGTGTATTTTGTTAGATCACCTAATCGTGCCACAAATTGCACTCTGCACTATTTCGAGAGAGCACTACTGGCATTTCCTTCATGTCTCCAAAGCCACTTGCTATAACGCTCGACTCTTTAACCACTCATTGCCAAATCTTTCAGCATATACTCTTCTTCCCCAATTTTATGTTAGCCCGCCTCTTACCAGTAAAACTTGAGTAATAATAATAATAAAAATATCTCTGCTATATATACCGAACTAGGTACTACATCGCTTGTGATTTGAATTGTGCTTAGCACTGGCAAAGCAAGTAGCAAGATATAAAGGCATCAACTATGAAGACTTTTATTTATATCAGTCTAGACGTTTGAGAATGAAAATGTTTTTTCATGGCAGCAAAGCCATTTCTGATGATTCAATGTGATTTACAATAATTCGAAGCACTATGAATCAAAGCAAAATTCCTCATATTCTTTCAAAGCTGTATACGATCTTCTAGTGTTTCATCCCCTTTTCGATGTAAGAAAAAAAAGGGGTTACCATAACACAGAGAGATATTTCTATTGTTCCTCACACAACATATTTCAGCCCAGATAGGGCATCATCAGATGATTCGTAAGGAATATGCAAATAATGAAGGAAATATATATACAAGAAATTTTGGATGAACTGATCACACGCTTTCCTTTGAAACAATACAAACTGCTTAAAAAAGGAACAAAATTAACGAGGAGGAGATATACAGTCACACAGTCAGCAATGTAATCTCACAATCCTCTTTTACTTTTTCTAAATAAGAAAAATAGGCTACAAAATCAAAATAGTAGTATATATTTGTCAGTTTAACCTTTAATTAGGTCGGATCCGACTAAACGCAACTAAAACATCTATAATAACATTGTAGTTTTTAAATATATTGTCACGTGATGGAGTGATTATAGATGGGTTTTGGATTGGTAATGGGATTTATTGGCCACTTCAAACAAATAGTGACTACAGTTATAGATCACTATCGCACAAACACTAGTGTTCTCAGTCACAGTCTTCACTGTGCTCCTTGGTAACATCTTAAAACAGAGGTGTTCCTCTGCTTCCGGGCTGACGTCCTCTCAGGCTGGCTGCCATCTCACAGCTACTTCCTACTCTTCTAACTGCCGTCTCAAAACTGCCTCGTAATGGCAGCTGGTCCATGTCATAGACCGCACAGCAAACATCACTGCCACTAGTTCTTCTATTTTTTGAGTGACCTTGATATAAGCTCTGACTGCACAGAAATACCGTCCTTTATTTCCGTGTGCAATCACTGTCAGGCTGATGGTTTGCTTACACCACCATAACCTAGTAACTGCTCTCTCTTCAGTTATAATCTCACAATATCATCACATCATCATCATCAGTAATCTGTCAAGATGACAGGTCCACAGTCTCTTCCAAAACAATTCCTCAACTTAATGCGATCTAGAGCTTTCTCCTTCAAATGACAGTATCCTCTTCTGTCCCCAAGGTCATCCAGCATCTTCTTACGTCTTCTTCCTCGTCTTCTTGTCCCTTCTATCCGCCCCTCTATCTTTCCTTCAATAACTTCTTTTAGAAGGCAGTTTCTGCGTAAAACATGACCATTCCAATTAGCTTTCCGTTTTCTTATTTCGTGTAGGATATTCCTCTACTCACTGACTCTGATTAACACTTCTTCATTTCTCACACAATCGGTCCAACTGATCTTCTCCATCCTTCTCCAACACCACATTTCAAAACTTTCAGATGTTTCTGATCTACTGCCCTAAGTGTCCATCTTTCAGCCCCATACAGAGCTATGCTCCAAATGTAGGATTTCACTAGTTTCTTCCTAAAATTGAAGTCCAATTTGCTGGTAAAAAGATTCTTCTTCTTGCTAAATGCAGCTTTTGCCATGGCAATCCTGGATTTAATTTCACAAGTACACCTTCCATCATCTGTTAACAAGCTACCCAAATATTTAAAACATTTCACATTCTCCACTTGTTTTTGGTCTATCTTTATTGTGACTGGGGTTGGTTGTCTCGAAATTTTCATTACTTTTGTTTTCTCCACATTCATTTCCATGCCATAGCACCTTCCAATTTCAATTAGTCTATCAATCATGCCCTGTAGCACAGTTTCTTCCTTAGCCATTAACACAAGGTCATCTGCATATTTCACAGTTTGAATAATTTGCCCTCCTACTTTGAAGTCACCGAGCCCATCCAGAGCTTCCTTGGTAAGGCATTCGCTGTACAAGTTGAACAGAATTGGTGATAAACAGCATCCTTGTCGAACTCCTCTTCCAATCTGCACACTTCCTGTCTCCCCCCTGTCCAGTCGTACTCTAACTTTCTGATCCATGTACAATTTGCTAATCAATCTTCTTTCATGCCAATCGATACCTGTTTCTTTCAGGATCTGCATTAATTTGGTCCAGTTTACCCGGTCAAATGCCTTCTGCCAGTCTATGAAGCAAACACACAGTTCTTCATCTATCTCCAAAGTTCGTTCCGCTATAATTCTCATCATCCCAATTGCATCCCTGGTTCCTTTTCCTCTTCTAAATCCAAACTGATCTTCTCCAAGTACATCCTCTATTTTCCTTTCAATTCTTCTTTTAAGTATCTTTGCTATTATCTTTGCTGTATGTGCAATAAGACTTATTGTGCGATGGTCGCTGCATTTTGTAGCTTTTGTCTTTTTCTTTAAGGCAATCATTGTAACTTCTGTAAAGTCCTTGGGCCACTCTCCACTTTCATATATGGTGTTCATTAGTTTTGTCAGTGTTTTCAAACCACCTTCTCCCAGTAACTTGAGCACATCTCCAGGTACATCATCATCTCCTGTAGCCTTTCCCTTCCTCATTTCCTTGATAGCTTTTTCCACCTCACTTTGTAAAATATATGGTCCTTTCTCGTCTGTATCTACTTCTTCTTCCGGTTCAACTTCTAAGGTTTCTGGCCGATTAGGTCGATCATATAGTTCTGAAATATAATTTTCCCAAATTTTCAGCACTTGCCTCTGATCTACTATTCTATTCCCCTGGGAGTCTTCGATGCCAACATTTTGAATCCCATGATTCTCTTTCCATCCTAGTTCTTTTGTCTTCATGTACATCAAATCATAACGTCCTGTTCTTTGAAATTCTATAATCTCATTACATATCTTCTCAAGATATTCCTTTTTGGCCCTGTCCGTGGCTCTTTTCAATTCATTCCTCAGTCTCCTGTATTTCCTCCTGCCTTCTTCATTGTTGACATTCTTCCATTTCCTTCGCTCCTCCATTTTACTCATCATCTCCTGTGTAACCCATGGTTTTCTTGCTATCTTCTCTACTTTACCAACCAAATCACTGATAGTATCTAACATGCGTTCTTTTATATTGTTCTACTGCACTTCAGCATTTCCGCTTTCACCTTCAATTGCACCAAGTTTCTCTTCTAGGGTCTCTTGCATGCTTTGTCTTTGAGCATATAACTTCTCCAAATCCCATCTGTGTCTGCGCTTTCGAAATCTTATAATTTTCTTGAACCTGTTTCGGAACTTGGCAACCAGTAAGTTGTGGTCAGAGTCAATATCTGCTCCAGGCAGCGTCTTCACATCCTTCACACTGTTTCTGAATCGATGTTTCACAAGGATGTAGTCCTGCTGATGCCGCCTTCAATCCCCAGGTGCCTTCCATGTGTAAAGTCTTCTCTTTGGCTTCTTAAACCAAGTGTTGGTAACAACCAGTCCACAAAATCACAAAAGTCAATAAGCATTTGACCCTTGTGATTCCGTCTTCCTAGTCCATGTGATCCAACAATATTCTGATATGATTCATCTCCAACAGTGCTATTCCAGTCTCCTAATATGATGCTGTTTGTGTCACCTCTTCCATCTTCCTGAAGAATTTCTTCAATTGTGTCATACACTTCTTCCACTTCATCATCATCATACTCTGATGTTGGCGTGTACACTTGCATAATCAGTATATCTACCGGTTCCGCCTTCAACTCCAGAGCAATAATTCTGTCATTACAAACAATCTTCTTAACAACACTCCTCACTACACTTTTATGTACCACTATTGCCACACCTCTTTCAGCCTGTTCACCTCCGGAATAATACACTGTATAATCACCACTTCTTATTTCACCTTGTCCTTTCCACGACACTTCGCTGACACCTAGAACAGACACCTTATTCTTCTGCATTTCCTTTTTCAAATTCTCCAATTTGCCTGCTTGATTCAAGGTCCTTACATTCCATGTCTCACAATATACAGTTCTTCATTACCTGTATATTCCTTACGAAACACCTGACGACGGCCTGTCTGCGCCGAAACATGTTGCGAATGGAATAACAAATAAATTTATTTGACGGTAAACCCAAGCCCATTTTTTTTTTGGTTACATAATTTTATATTTATAATTTTATGGCATAAAATGTATAGTAAAAGTTAAAAGGTAAAGCTATCTCTGTAACAGGCTGTGAAGGCCCATACGGTTGTGAGACGTGGAGGCTCCCACATTTTCTCTAGACAATCGGCTCACAGATGGCGGTAAGTTTGTCAGCCTTACGCGCCGATCGCCTTTTACCATCCAGGATGATTCTTGGTACTAATTTCTGTTAGAGACCAAGTCGAACCCAGGGCCATAGTGTGGCCGGAAGGACTAGGTAAATTGGTAAAACCACTTCATCGGAACTCGAACCCGCGGCATTCCGGCTTGTAGCTTAGTGCCTCAATCAACTACACTACCGCGTGTCCCCAATTGAATTACACAATTGCACTAATTATTACATAAATAAAGGAAGTTGTAGTAAGTTGTGTTGTTACGAAGCTATTATGTGGGTTAGATCTCGGAGTGCATTTTCTTCTAATTTATTTATCATAGCCTGTTTTTAGCGGGTTTTGTTCTTTCTTTAAGTAAAGGAATGACTATATATTAACTCACATACGCAATTTTAGGATTGTTACATGTGCTGACTTCAAACGTTTTAATTATGACATCATTCACCAGCAATTCAAGAACAGATACAAACATGTTACTGTCAGAAAAATAACGTTACCGATTACTGTAAATCTTAATTATATAAGAAACGGTTCGAACCATTAGAAAGCGGACGTTTGAAGATTACATTCCTGCACATAATGCTATGTAATCAGAAGATAAATGGTAAACACCGCTATGAGAATCTCAAATTCTACAGAGGGCGCCTGGTTAAAAAACCGCCAGCTCTTGCTGAGCCTTGATAACAGATTTGACATAATTTTGGTGAAAATCACCAGAATTTCGACATATCGCAAAATAAAAAAATCTGTCACCATGTGCTGTAGAAGCACCGGATCTGGTGACAGAATCACTCCGTTGGCCCCCCTGTACCTATCCATGGATGCCAATTATGCATCTGGATGAAGTGGTAGGCAAATATTTGTAGGGCTCTTGGTCGTTTTAATCTCTATGTGAATCCGAAATTTCCATTTAGTCTATTTTAGAGATTAACTGAAGACGCCCAAAATAGAGAAATTTCTGTCAAATTCACATAAAAGGCTTTCCCATTGGTCAGACTGTTTCGGCAATGCACATGCACAAATTTCCCGATAACGAAGAACCTGCCTGCCATCTAACGAATGGTTACTATATCACGATGTACATATGTAAATCACCATGGAAACCAAAGTAGACATTTTAAGAGAAGGGAGCCCATCGTCAACGCAGAGAAGCTCCCGTTCACCCTTACGTTTGACGAAAACTGGCCGTGAGTACTTTGCTTTGTGTTTTTATACATTTTCTACATGGAGAATTCTTACTCACTTGACGAGTACAGGGCTCTGCGCTTCACGGCGACCGGTGCATAGCCGGCCGCGAGGTGCATGCGAATTTTGCCGATGATTCAGAGTGTCTGATGACCGATAAAATTCACTATGAAGTAATTGCAATTCACAGATCACAGGAGGTGTTAAAAATGCCGTCCTCTCTACACGTAAATATTTTTTGCAATTAATTGCTTTGCTATAAAAACAAAGGTAATATATTCCTTCTTGCACTTACAGCACACCAGACTTAAAGTGTCACTGGATGGCTTCAGCAGTTGTGTTGCCGTTCTTGCACTAGACTTTGACACTGCAGTCTCTCGAGCTAGATGGTTAAAGTGATTTACTAGGTTTATGTTCAAGCCTGGCCCCTGTGTCATGTAACTTCTTAGTAAGCACCCGGCGCTTATGTTTCTGTTTCTTGTCTATTAGGAGTCCCGTTGGTCTAAGTTTATTCGCAAAATTGTGAATTGCTTGTTTGCTGAGAATTACTTCATCGTGAAATTTACATCAAAATTTTCGCCGACGCTCTAGCACAGCCGTGTCAAACATGTAGCCCCTCAACTTTTAGAGCTAACTGATATTAAAATTTTAGTAGAAATATGAACGTTGTCATAACAGATCCAACAGCATCACAGAACGCGGAAGAACAGCGAGACCTCACAAACAAGTGAAAGTGCAACCAATAACATAAGTTGAACTTTAATTAACGAACTTTTAACAATAATAATAATAATTAAACTAGTTAAAAAGAACTAGACACAGTAGTGAGCGTAAGTAAAATGAGACTGTAAAACAAGTGCAAGTGTAGCCAGTGACATGAATTGAACTTCGATTCACGAACTTTTAACGTTTAACAATTAAATTAGAATAATAATTTTAACTTGTGTTTTATAAAAGAACTCGATATATTAGTGAGCGTAAGTCTGGATAAGATACAGAGTCGAATGAGTGAAAAGTGAATGTGACCGCGTGTAATTATACAGCCATGTTCATACGCCTGAGGACGACCTCTTGAGGTCGAAACATGTACTGATAATAAAAAACGTGTTGTACGAGTATAGTCGGTAAAATTCACTACTATTGATAAATTAGCAGGCTGCAGGAAATTCAATGTTTTGCTATTTCTAACATAATTTCTTGTATAATCTCTCTTTTACATATTGAAGAGTTGATTGATACTTGTCAAAAATGGCATTCTCTTGCTTTTTAAAACTGTAAGATATTAGGTAATTATATTGAAATTATTCCAAAATAATAAATAGACACCGACCGGCTTTCCCGACCGCCTTAACCAGAGTCTAGAGCTGATTACGTCGGAACGTACTATGAAGTCGTTATTGTATTGTATTGTCAAACGAGTGATATGTTAGACTGTGAAATGACAGTGAATGTGAACTATGTAGTTATTTGTAAATAAGGCGCTTAAGTGCCCAGTGATTCAGTTACTAATCCGAAAACTTTGTATAATCACTATCACGCGATATTTAATGTAAGAAAGGGGGTATTGGAGCGGGTATTTGGATTGTTGGGTTGTTCGGCTGCGGATGATAAGTTAGGAATTTAATTGAAGAGACAACCGATCATGGGCGGGTTTGAACGTGTGCTAAACGAAATGAGATCCTAAATTGGAGCCAACGAAGACGTAAAGAAAGATGGCCAGCAAGCCCATTAAAGTATCTGCCACCACCATATAGCAGTTGTCGATGTGCCCCAGGACTTCATCCAAAGGAATGCAAGTTATGCATTTTTCGAAGAGATAATGAACTAAAAGTTAAAGTTTCATTTCATGAGTGGAGACAGGACGCCCAACGAAGCCATCAGCCAGGTTCTGAGGCTAGGGGCTGCGAGAGCGGCAGCCGACCATCAGGAAGATCAGGAAAACTGCGGATGGCAAGATCTGGAGTGCGCTTGGACCCATGGCTGCCAGGGACCGAGTGAAGTAGGACAGGGTGACCCATATACTGACAGTGTTGGGGTGTCAGTCATCTTAGGGGATAATGCCGACAGAAATATACCAAGAAGGACTGGCTGGGTTGAGGTCAACTGAGATCCGAGAAACAGGTAGGGGTTCGCACCAAGAAGGCGCTGGTGACATCACTCTAGCCCCCTCGCTACAAACTTTAGATGCTGGTAAGGCAGGGCGATGACAGCCTACTCTTAAACGTTGAACTCCAGACTGGGGACAAATCACGCTATGTAACCACGGGCACCGTAGTAGGAGTGACGATAACCAGACCAGACTTCACTGAAGGACTGCCCGAGATGGAATTTACCTGGCCGTATGTCCCACAGATGGCGTTGGAGACCTTTCCTGCCTGGAAGGAAGAGTTTGTAGAGTTGGCCTTGAGTCGGAGCCCCTTGACGACTTGTGTATTCGTTACTAAGATCACCGTCGTGTTCATCCTGGGGCTGGATTATTTCGCGACAACGATGCAGCTTTGGATTTGGGATGCCGCATGCTATGACTGAGCGAGGAAGAACTGTCATTGTGATGCTCCGGGGCTCGACCATGTTCTTTCCCTCACAAAGGGCGGCGGTGAGGTGGTATAGGCTCAGTTTGGGAGAGCACTGATGTCGCTGCTGGAAGACTCCCCCCCTCCCTTGGAGGCTACTGATAGCCTAGCAGAGTTGGGTTCAAAACCCACTCACCGAGCTGGAATGCCTAAGGTGAAGACGATTCAACCGTGAATGGAGGTGCCCACTAGGATGGCTGGGGACCAGTGACAACAGAAGCACACTAACGGAGGCGCACATCGTAGAGCGCACATGTTTCAAGTTGTGTATTGCCCTAAGGAAGGAGGAGCCAGATGACTGCAACGTGGAACCGATACTACAGTGAATTGGGACTGGACAATATCCGAAGTGGAAACAGAAGAGATGGGGCTAGTACGGCATTGTGGCACTATTTCAAAGGGTGGCCATAACATAACAGGAAGACCTCCTCAGGACAGAGGTTATGGCAAGATGCATGAGGTATTTTCAGGAAGAGTGGCCTTAGTCAAGAAGCAAAGTTACGTGACGCTGAAAATGCAGAATCTTGGAAACATGGAAATGTCACAGAGGTGTCCATTGCTATACACTGGTGTATTAAAGCATGCTTCTGGCAACAAATATGAGCAGGACAGTTGTAGGAGTCATTCTGTAATCCTTTCACAACAAGCCGATATATTGCTGCACAGCAGATCCGAGAGGCCCTCCAGTGGAGGTGGAGTGACCAACAGTAGTCATACCTCTCTTCACATAATTTCATGACCCCCCNCCAATAAATCCAGTTACTAACCCAAACACTCTGTGTATTAAGTCTCATGTGACAATATTAATTATTATTAACATATATATGCAAAGCTGCATTTCACATATATTTCTTTAATAATACTGTGAATTTTGTTCTTCTGGCATACCACATGTAAACTGCCTTGTCTGAATAATGTAAGTTCAGATATTTCCCTTCAGACTAATTACAATAGTTGTGAAAGTTGTATGTCGTTGGAAGTGCGATGAAACAATTTTCTGATTGAGAATTATTAAATAATATGAACATGTTGAAACATATTATAATGCACCTTTGCATTTGTTAAATATATTTTGTTTCCAGAACAGTTCAAGAGCAATGGCCATGCAAAAACAAGGTAATTCATCAAAAAAGAGCTCAGGGCATAAGATAGAGATGCAGTTATCAAAACTGCAAAAAGCAGTACAGCTGGATGAAAGGAACTTGACAGTGGAAGAATTATTTTCTCTTCCTAAAACTGCCCTTAAACCTCCTGCTTCATTGAGAGATAGGAAGGACTTCCATAAGAAAACTAGATCACAGCTACTGAAAGAGAAGGAAGATCAGGTGAATATTCTTCATAGTGCATTACTCTACACATATAATATGTTAACACAGTAAGGTGAGAATTGTAAAGCTTGTAACTTTATAGTTATTAACTTATGTTGAGCATCTAGAAGTTATTTCAGAATAAATTTACCTTATGAACTACGTATGAAAATCTCACTTCACACTATGTGCTATAGAGTTTGAACAGATCTTGAATGTGTAGAGTTTTATAATGGGTTTTGATATGCTTCAACTCTATGGCTATTCATGTCTGCAGAGTTTGTATCATGAGTAATTTGTCGCCTATGAAATTAACCACAGTGGAACCCTCATTTAATGTGCTCTGATTTAACATTTTCCTGCATTTATTACTCTAATTTAACGAATCAACTTTGTTTTGCATCCATAACTGAAGTGAATACAATTGGACATGTGAAAAAATAACAGCGAATACATCACATTTCAAAGTCACATAAAAGTTACACAGTGGTCTATCACAATAATATAACAACCATTATAAGGCACATAACAATAAAAGATCCCAAGTCAGTAATCTCAGTCCTAAATTTTCTCCATTTAAGAATTTCCTCAATATAGCGTTTAAATCTAATGGCACCCAAAGAAACGTGAAATGGAGGTTTCACTGTGTATGGTATTTATTGAACAAATCCTGAAAACTGGATGGTAATTACCAAGTAATAAATTAATAATACTTTATTATATGATTTCTTCACTGTTACACTTCTAGTAATTGTTGGAATAATAAGCCAACCAGTTCAATTAATTTAATAGAACAGGTTAAATTCAAGTTAATTTGTTTCGTTTCATTCTGGTCCATCACACTGTTAAGTTTACAATTAAGTTTATTTCAGTCCAATGTGACATATAATGCTTTCACCACTTCAGCACTTAGTTACCTAACAAGTTTCGATTCCTAATGAATCATCATTGGAGGTGATCAGGAACCCACCAATACGTAAATGTTTTTATAAGTCTATATACTCTTAAAACATTTATGATGCTCACTATATGTAGTTGTTTATTTTTCCATTTTTGAAATAGATGTTTGACGTAAACTTTTATAATAAGAACATTCTTGAAATATATTACTTAGAAGTGATGTAATTACAACACTTCCATAAAGGATAGTTTAAAAATGTAATTTTCCACTGCACCGTATACAAAATTTCAATTTGTTTCACTACAGCAGCCTTCCTTTACGTTAAAATTATGTCATGAATGTGTGTGAAAGCTTATTTTTAAGTTAAGAAATTTATTCGTGAACCAATATGGATCAGGGGGTACGCGGTAGCATAGTGGTTAAGGTACTATGTTACAAGCTGGAAGGTCGCGGGTTCAAGTCCCAATGAGGTCATTGGATTTTTTCAATTGACCTAATCCTTCTGGCCGCACTAGGCCCTGGGGTTTACTCAGCCTCTAACAGAAGTGAGTACCAGGAATNGCTGGTTTACCCTTGCCCCTTGGGGTTGTCGTAAGTCTTGGTATGGTTTACAATAAACATCAACATAAAATCCCAACGTACATACATACATACATACATACATACATACATACATACATACATACATACATCTGCTTTCAGGATAATCATAAATGCAATCTGTGCTGAATATGAAACATGTCACAAGCTTTACAAACAACAATACATCTTTACAAATCCAACATGCCATATCACAATAACAAACAGACATAAATGCAAACAACGTGCATCTAAATAAATACATAAAATACAGATTATGTTTACACTTAATGTCTATATTGATGCCTACTGTGGGACATCCATCAGTCAGCATGCACTCCCCTTCTATTCCTTAGCTGTTGATCCCGACAGAGGAGCAAAATTCATCAGCAGTATATGATGGATTATGTACTAGGATATCCCTTATTTCTTTTATAAACTGTTTTTTTATCATATACTAAATCAGTTAAATAATCAGGAAGACTGTTATTTTATAAATATTTTTATACTCATGCAATGGACCCCTTTCTGCCTCATTGCGAGATGTGATTGTAGGACATGTAAATTTCTTTCATGTCTTGTCAGTCTCTCATAAATTGAATAATTAAAAGTAAAATCCTCCAAATTATTTATCATAAAAGTCATCAAGGATAAAATATATTGAGAGACCAATGTTAATATATTTAACTTTATAAATGCTGGCCTACATGACTCTCTTCCATTATTAATCTACCAGTCTTCTTTGGTAAGATAAAGATTTTCTTGGCCTCTGACAAATTACCCCAAAAGACTATTCCATATCTCATGAGTGAATGAAGGTATGCATGATATATCATTTTAAGTGTTGTAACATTACTATCATCATCATCATCATCATCATCATCATCATCATCATCATCATCATCATCATCATCATCATCATCATCATCATCATCATCATCATCATCATCATCATCATCATCATCATCATCATCATCATCATCATCATCATCATCATCATCATCATCATCATCATCATCATCATCATCATCATCATCATCATCATCATCATCATCATCATCATCATCATCATCATCATCATCATCATCATCATCATCATCATCATCATCATCATCATCATCATCATCATCATCATCATCATCATCATCATCATCATCATCATCATCATCATCATCATCATCATCATCATCATCATCATCATCATCATCATCATCATCATCATCATCATCATCATCATCATCATCATCATCATCATCATCATCATCATCATCATCATCATCATCATCATCATCATCATCATCATCATCATCATCATCATCATCATCATCATCATCATCATCATCATCATCATCATCATCATCATCATCATCATCATCATCATCATCATCATCATCATCATCATCATCATCATCATCATCATCATCATCATCATCATCATCATCATCATCATCATCATCATCATCATCATCATCATCATCATCATCATCATCATCATCATCATCATCATCATCATCATCATCATCATCATCATCATCATCATCATCATCATCATCATCATCATCATCATCATCATCATCATCATCATCATCATCATCATCATCATCATCATCATCATCATCATCATCATCATCATCATCATCATCATCATCATCATCATCATCATCATCATCATCATCATCATCATCATCATCATCATCATCATCATCATCATCATCATCATCATCATCATCATCATCATCATCATCATCATCATCATCATCATCATCATCATCATCATCATCATCATCATCATCATCATCATCATCATCATCATCATCATCATCATCATCATCATCATCATCATCATCATCATCATCATCATCATCATCATCATCATCATCATCATCATCATCATCATCATCATCATCATCATCATCATCATCATCATCATCATCATCATCATCATCATCATCATCATCATCATCATCATCATCATCATCATCATCATCATCATCATCATCATCATCATCATCATCATCATCATCATCATCATCATCATCATCATCATCATCATCATCATCATCATCATCATCATCATCATCATCATCATCATCATCATCATCATCATCATCATCATCATCATCATCATCATCATCATCATCATCATCATCATCATCATCATCATCATCATCATCATCATCATCATCATCATCATCATCATCATCATCATCATCATCATCATCATCATCATCATCATCATCATCATCATCATCATCATCATCATCATCATCATCATCATCATCATCATCATCATCATCATCATCATCATCATCATCATCATCATCATCATCATCATCATCATCATCATCATCATCATCATCATCATCATCATCATCATCATCATCATCATCATCATCATCATCATCATCATCATCATCATCATCATCATCATCATCATCATCATCATCATCATCATCATCATCATCATCATCATCATCATCATCATCATCATCATCATCATCATCATCATCATCATCATCATCATCATCATCATCATCATCATCATCATCATCATCATCATCATCATCATCATCATCATCATCATCATCATCATCATCATCATCATCATCATCATCATCATCATCATCATCATCATCATCATCATCATCATCATCATCATCATCATCATCATCATCATCATCATCATCATCATCATCATCATCATCATCATCATCATCATCATCATCATCATCATCATCATCATCATCATCATCATCATCATCATCATCATCATCATCATCATCATCATCATCATCATCATCATCATCATCATCATCATCATCATCATCATCATCATCATCATCATCATCATCATCATCATCATCATCATCATCATCATCATCATCATCATCATCATCATCATCATCATCATCATCATCATCATCATCATCATCATCATCATCATCATCATCATCATCATCATCATCATCATCATCATCATCATCATCATCATCATCATCATCATCATCATCATCATCATCATCATCATCATCATCATCATCATCATCATCATCATCATCATCATCATCATCATCATCATCATCATCATCATCATCATCATCATCATCATCATCATCATCATCATCATCATCATCATCATCATCATCATCATCATCATCATCATCATCATCATCATCATCATCATCATCATCATCATCATCATCATCATCATCATCATCATCATCATCATCATCATCATCATCATCATCATCATCATCATCATCATCATNTTTTCATAATTCGTATTGCCTAACATGCCTTTCCCAATCTGGGTAACAGTGATTCAACCTTCAGTGATTCTTCCAATTCAGGAACTTATCAATTTCAATGCCCAAAAATTTAATATGAGTTTTCACTTGTAATAATTCATCATTAAACTTTAAATGTACAGGCATATTGTCACAATTGATTGTTTCAAATTTTAACACTTTAGTTTTCCTCAAGTTTAGGGATGAGCTATTGTATTTAAACCACTGACTTAAGGAATTTAACATAAGTT